CAACCCAGCGTGTGACTGCGGCGAGAGTCGGCAAACGGTTAATCACATCATCAGGGACGGCTCGAAAAGGAAATTCCCAGAAAACGCGACATTAATGGACCTAACAGGGGATGCCGTAGAGTGGTTAACCGAATTGGACGATTTTACCACTTGTCATACTTGTTATGTGTGTGTTCACATATGTATTTATTTTTCCGTATTGATGTTACGCGTTGAATGAGTGCAATAGTGGCCATACGATAAACGAAATAAATAAATACTCGTATTCAGCATGTACAAACAGATTATGTACGATCGAGATACGAGTTATGAAAATGTATTCAGTTACGTTTAAGTACCTACCGAGAAATCGTTCGTGTGCAGCAGGTCACGCGAGACATATAATTGTGTACACAACAACGTTGTAAGTATACGTTTAACAGTTTGTGTAAATAATCTTTGTAACAATAATTATTGCGCGCACACATTGTTAAAATGGATGGAAGTTCCGTTGTATTGTGTTAGTTGTATTGATAAGCCCAGTGAAATCATAATCGACGTGTTTAGTTGCTTTTAATACGTAGGTCTGTGTGCCAGCATAGTTTTATCATTAGAATGCATCGAAGTCAATTGGTCACCAGCTAAATAATTATCGAAGAAGTGCAAAGCGATTAAGTTTATTTTAACTCTACAAGACGTTTTAAAAGTATTGTACATTTTTGCACCAGCTGAAATATAAAATGATAAAAATTAAAGTTTATGTTTGGCGTTAATTTCTATCAATTTTTCCTATATAATTATTTACAAAACAGTTGTTATATTAAAAAAAAAAAAAAACATCTTTCTTTTATTAGTTTCGATGATCATGATTAAAACATGAGACGACTGCAATTAGAAAATAAATTAAGTACAATAATTCTGATCATTTCATGTATAATTATAATAACCGTACCTGTACGTGTTATCGAATGAATTGATCGTCGTAAGAGCTGGTTTTATTAGAATTTTGTGGTACACATTATAATACGGTACTTAGTTTTAAGGGCTATTTTGACTAATACTACGGAAACGATACTTAAGCAGGTTAGGTTAGGTTATACCTAATGCAGCCCAATATATAATTTAACTTTATTTCAGTGTGCTTATTTAGTAAAAGTCGTTTGTTCGGCTATCATATCAAATACTAGCATAATACAACAGCGTTCCATCCGGTGATTTTATATTTGAATTAAAATTTAATTTAATTTTACGGTTTAAAAATAAACAACACCGTAATAGCGCTGTGCCGATGAAATAAATTATTTTTAAGCCACTATGTAATCATGACTTGATTAGCCTCGGTTAAAATAAATAACTTGACCAATTCATTATTTTTTTATTACGATACTTAAAGAACAATGAGGTTTAAATGATCCAGTCCCACGAGTATATCGTAATCAATTTTCGTTTCAATTATATTTTTTATAATATAAATTATTTTACACATATTATAGCAGTAATATTTTACATTTATACACAAATATACATATTTGTGTGTGTGTGTGTGTATGTGTGTTTGTGGTACTTGTGTATAACATCGTGAGTACACGAATACTTAAAATAATTATATAGTATGTTATTAAATTATGAAAGGTTTAAAAACGTTTCGTTTGAAGCATTTATTCAAATCGAAATGCTTATTATTTAACGGACGCAACAATGTTCTTCCATTTCGTGTAATATATTTTATCGTTCGAGCGACGACATTATACGATGTGCCCCTGTAAATACGCACAATTAGGGGGTAAATATTGGTACACATTATAGTACATAACACGATATTAATCGCGATGGTATCGCAGGGCCGATAATTGTGTACACTACGGCGTACGAAAAGTGAAGTGTTATGGACTATAACAGATGAGTGTACCACAAAGTTTGAAAGTGCGTTGCGAATATTTTTATCTGTTCATTGAGACAACGTTGAAAAATACAACATGAAAGCCGCTGAGCGTTTCTTCGGTTTTAAATATATTTATTTTCCGTTTTTTGTGAACAAATCGACCAGACGAATGAGATGTTTAAGGAATTACGAAAAATGTACGTTAAAAAATCATCATTTATTTGGAAGAACTTCAGTCACTTATACGTTATAAAAATATCGTAAAATTGGTTTTCATCCTCGATGAAAAAAAAATCACTTGTTGGAAGGCAGGACCGTCCTGGTACGCGCACGAGTACTGGTTATACCGTACCTATAAACGTTTATTTCAAAACATTGATTGGTACTTGATACGAAAAATTGAAACGTGAAATCACCCGCGGCGACAATGTTAATGAATTTTATTTTAATACTGATATTGGCTTCGCGGACACCCGACGATTTTAATATTATGTGCACTCTCCGAGTGGGAGGGGGGGGGTTGATCCAGGCGCGTACTGGGTCCATTTTCCCTGCCGGGAAGCTGGATATAATCAGGACCCACTTAATATTAATACCAATAGAAATGAGTCTCATTTATACCTATCTATAACAATAGCCAGGTTTTCTATCCATTTCTTACACAAACACTCAATATAACTTAGGTAATAACGGTGACACAAAATCAATTTATTTGTTTTCGTGAAGGTGTGTTATTATGGTGACGGTTAGGGTGCTCATTATTTTGAAGTCTTAAAATTCGTGAAGAGCCGCCTCGGAATATTTTTCTATGGGTCTAAAAATAAGATCTACACAATTTGAGCTTTATATAATATGATTGACACGGCACGCTCTAAGCTCAAAGTTAAGAGAAAATTTACAAATTTCTAGTATTATAGATATTACCGCACAAGTTTTGGTTTGTTCTAAAAAATTATAAGAAACCTTTTTGTAGAATTTTTTATTAACTAAAATAAGTGGTTCTCATAAATTTTTCGTACAGTCAATATTTTTTTTGTAAAAACTAAAAAAAAATATGAAAGTAACATTTTGTGAAAAATGCCCGTTTTTAAGTTTTTGAAATTATCTCTCTAAATATTAAATATACAAAAAAATCGTAAATTATTAAAATTAATCCAATTTATTTTTACTAAAATATATGTAATTTTACATTTTTGCGTTAAGCTAACTAATTTTGATTTAATTAAGAAATAATATAAAAATAATTAATTTTTCTCAATAACAAATTTAATAATATTATAAAACTTATACTTATAGTTTAATTACTGGGATAAGTTAATTTATTTAAGTTAACCAATATTCTATGGATGGTTTTATTTTAATTTTAATATGATAGTAATAATAAAAATAATATGCCTAGAAGTAAATGCTACTAAGTTTATTTTTAGATTAGAAAAACTTTTTACTATCGGCAATGATAGATATCATGTAGTGATATCTATAATAGTTTCGTTCTAACCTAGCAACGATCAGTACGTTAATATTAGCTTTTTATATTATTTATATTTATATTTTGGATTTGTCAATCATTTATTTTGGTGGTGTGCCTCTAAGTGGAATACATTTTAGGAAACCTGAAACATATCACATGGCAAGGTGAATGGCAAAAGTCATATACACTTTAAAATTATATCTATTTCCAACAGAATTTAAATTATCAAAATTAGAAGAAAAGTCGTTATTTCAAATTACGTCATTTATTATAAAATTTTATGTTATATATTGAATTTATGCTGTTGTGGCCGCATCTGCCCCATTAAACGACATCAAGTTTCTAAGAGAATTAAAAAAATATGAAGAAATACACAAAAATGTATCTGAAATAGCTATTAGTAAATTTATTAACCATCTTTACTATTCAACCGAAGAGTGTGCTGCATTTGCATTATTTGATGAAAATATATATGTTAATACAAAACTAATAATGGCAAGAAATATAAATGAGCAAATCAATATCGAAGAGTTTGAAGTTCACACGAAAAAATTGAACTTAAAAATTGGTGAAATAACAAATTTTTTAAGCAAACCAGACAAAGAAATTTTAATATCACTGTTATATCAAAAATCAGCAAATATATTTCAGCGTTTTAAAATTGAAAACTTTTTACACATTCATCCGTCTCAATGGTTAAACTCAAGTGCTTACCAAAAAGGAAAAACTATCGTTGAACAACTAAGAATTTTCAACGATTCAGCTGAAAGAGATGTAAAACTTGTAGAAGATTATAATAACAGTATTACGAGCGACGAAATTCAAAAACAATTTTTATTACAAGTGAGTTATTTAAACATTCTAAAAATATATTGTACTTCAAAATAAACCAAAGTTTTACTTATACTGTTTCAAACGGTCAAGGACTATATATCTAGGCATCCTGAAACAACAAAAAGTGATTTGTCCTCTCCTATGAATATTTAAATACAAGAAGATAAAAGTATTTTTATCATATTTGTTTTTGAGAAAAATTAATTATTTTTATATTTTATCTCAATTAAATAAAAATTAGTTAGCTCAACGCAAAAATGTATGATTACATATATTTTAGTAAAAACAAATTGTATTAATTTTTATTATTAACGATTTTTTTATATCATTAATATTTAGAGAGATAATTTCAAAAAACTTAAAAACGGGCATTTTTCACAAAATGTTACTTTCATATAGTTTTTTTTTAGTTTTTACAAAAAAAAATATTGACTGTACGAAAAATATATAAGAACCACTTATTTTAGTAAATAGCAAATTCTATAAAATGTTTCTTATAACTTTTTAAAAAAACCAAAACTTAATATCTAAAAAATAATAATAATCTAAAAATAATATCTAAAAAACTAAAAATTTGTAAATTTTCTCTAAACTTTAAGCTTAAAACGTGCCCTGTTAATTATATTATATAAAGCTCAAATTGTATAGATCTTATTTTTAGACCCATAGAAAAATATTCCGAGGTGGAAATTTTAAAGAACAAAAATTGTCCATATATAAATAACAGGCACCCTAGTGACGGTATATAATTGTTATTTTAAGAAAGAACGGAAATGTTTGACAAGATCGGAAGAATTTTTCAAGACTATTATTTCAATATATATCATAACTTACTGTTTTTTTGTATTAATATAGGCATTGAATATGTTTGCAGAGCATTCCATCTTTCACAAAAATCTTGAAAAATTCCAAAAACCTGTTCCCTTACATATAGGATCGTCCGCTGTTGAATTACTTTCATCAGCCATTCAAAGTTCTCGTTGCACTCGTAAATGCTATACAATAAAGAAATCGAAATGATAAACACAAAGGTAAACGGTAAACGAAATTAAATCATGACTCTCAAGGTATAACATTTTTGTGATACCTGTACCGAAGTGTTCTTAAGTGTTCTTTTTTATTGCAAACGACGCGAGTACGTCGTACAATCGAACCAGAGATGGTTTGACTGCGAAGCGCGCAACAAGCATAAATACGAAAGATGACAATCAGTACAGTAGTTGTAGTGAACCATTAACTTCACCATACAAGGATAAAACAGCAAATACTGTTTCACTTAACTATTGCCTGAAAAATCACTAGAAAGGTATATAATGGCTAGTGAAAAACTTTTGAAATTGAGAAAAATAAAGAAAACTAAATCTTTGTCGGAAAATGTGTTTCTTACATATTTTAATAAATTATCTACAGAAATTATACCATCAACTCTATGGTTTATTTATTCAATGCTTAAAAGCATGAAAAATATGAAACATAATATTAAGGTTGGTACTTATTTAAAATTACAAGTTTTGTTGAAAGAGAAAATCGAGTGGATTAAAAGTAAAATTTCCAAAGTTTTGACTTCAACCTATGTAAAAAATTCATTGACGAAGCTCCTGATATTCAATATTTAGTAAAAAGATAAGTGAGAACTAACCTTTCAACATGTTCATACACACATAATAAACACTATCATATCCTAGTAATTTTTTCTTTAAAGAAGTTATTATTATTATTAATATTTTAATAATTATCTTAACTAAACTTTAATTGAAATTAATTAGGCATGTACACTCAATAAAGCTAACAATAATTTAAAAAATAACCAAAAACCGGGTGTAAAATTAAGGGTAATATTTTGGTTGGATTTTTAGAGGAAAGTAGTCTAATTTTAAAAATGAATAAAGAACTCCCTCCTTCATAAAATCATGGGTAAAATCCATTCATATAGACAGTTTTAGCTTCTCGCATTACCACAGGCGTGCGCAGACCTGTATTCAGGGGGGCCTACAGTACTTATGAGCCCTATCTCAACAAAACGAGTAGGTATATTTAACAAATTATAATGTATAAATAATTAAACAAATCTAAAATTAATTTTTTTAATTAATATTAAGTATATTAGTGTCGATGAATATATTTTCCTCAAATCTCATATATTTTTCCCTGATGGCTTCAGTTATTTATTTGTACTTCTGTAGAGAATTGTATGTGTTATAGTAACATAATAAGTTTTTGCGCGAAAATTTAGAACATTTATATTTTATTTCTTCTATTGCGAAAGATCATTTATTTTTTACTAAACATTTTAGAATAAAATTACATTTAATTTGATCAACACCAGTTGAAATAAAAACTTTTTACTTTTAGCCTTAGATTTTAGGGCCGCGTTTACGAATGATGCGATTCGGTAATTTAAGCTAAAATAAAACGTTGTCGTCATCCGTCCATCTCGTGGCAAAAACTCGCGCGATCACGATCACACGCGACAGTTAACATTTCGATTCCGGACGACGGAATGTCTCAAAACTCTGTTAAACCGTCTCCGTCTGAACGGGGGTTAAACAAAAAGTTACTCATCACTGTGAACGTTCGAAAGGGGATTATGACAAAACCGTTAAGCGTGCGGTACGAAAATGTATTTATTTTAACCACTGCATACGTGTTCACCCGCCCCGCATGGTGCGCGACAAGTCAATAGATAAGCGTATAGTTGACGACGTCCGTCCGCGTGCTGCGAACAACGTACGGCGCGCGAGCACAGGGGCGATGGGCTGCAGAAGACTCGCGTTAACCGCGCGGACTTGGTTCAACTTTACTTAACTTTGTTTTCCCGTCTCGAAGTGTTCACCCGTGTGCGGTGCTCACGCACGACGTCGTCGGGCGGAAAAATTGTGATTGACGGCGTACGAAGTGACCATCTGTAACGTCTCCCATATGTGAATTTGTTGGAGCGTTGCGTGACGAATATCTACTCCTCGAGCGTCGCCAACCTGTGGCCGAGACCAGCGATGAAAATGAATACGAATAACAATCACTACGAAATGAAAAATATCACAAACACTACGGACAGATACATATAAAAGTTTGTGATCGAAAAGATAATCAGAAACAACACAAGACTAAAACTAAAACCTACCTCGGACCTCCAGCAGTAACCGGTCAACTTCATTGCCCGCGTCCACTCGTCTCTCAGGCAACACCGCTATGACCGTCGCGCAAAGTTCGACCGTTCTCTAACACTTCCTCGCGTTCGCGCGTCCGCAGCGTTCGGTCGAAATCGCCTCTCGACCATAGTGCGTAAAATTTAAGTCAAAGTCATCCGGTTGAAATACCGACTGCCAAGTGCGCAGCAACCATATCGCGTCTTGTACCGCTCGCTATCACTCTACCATTATTGACAATGGCTTTTCTCCACCGAAAACAATCATTGTAAGTTCTCGGCAGGTTCTCAGCAGCTGAGCGGTGAACACATCGAATCAACCGTCGAGACGTGCGTCTGTACGAACATTTCGTCTCTGCTCTGTCGCGTCGCGCAACCGTAAACAGATCTGCAATAACACAAGCAGTACCAAGTGCATTTTTTCTTAAACCCGTAGAGAAATATGTCGCCCAGTCGATAGTAAATCGAAAGGCTGGATAAAATTACGTAGACCGAACGAGAAGTACACCATCATTCGGTACACAGAGTATTTTGATAAAAAAAATTTTTTTGACTCCCGGTAAAAATTCTTTTCAGAGAACGCACGGAGTAGTACCACTATGATGCAGATCACCACGGATTTATGTGTTCGCAGGTGAAACGTCATTCTTATGATTATCGATTGCGACGGTTAAACAAACGCGTCCGACCGTCCTACGTGCACCCCGAAGTGTACGCATAACTCGGCTACATTATCGGTCCGCTTGTAAATAGATCTGTGCGGAACGCAATGAACGTTTACATTTTTATGTGCAACGTTTTCGACCCGCGGTCCGAAAAAGCGGGTAAGAGCGGTACAATAATGGTATAATACTTACGGTATTATACAAACATTCTTCTGAAATTATGTTGTACGTGTATCTGCTAATTCGACGTTAAGTGTGTAATATAATAAAAAATCACGGTTTATACGACCTGTCCGGACGGAACGTTTTTAATAACTTCATCTTGAGGTTTTACGGTTTTTATATTGCCGGATTTCGTTTTGCTCCCCGTGGTTTTCCAAAATTCAAAACTGGTCGGTGTGCCCAATAAGGTTTTTTTTTTTTTTTTTTGTTCAGGTGTACAATAATTTCGTAATCAATTTTTTCTCGGAATGTACCGATGTGTATGGATATATATTTTTTCTTTATACGCGCACAAAAGAAGATTCTGTAATAAAAATTAATTTGTTTTGTAGGTGCGCGAATTTGGCGAGGTTAGACGTAAACCGTTGTATATTTATTTTTTCCGATCGCTATTTGTAAATAATAACGTGTTTGTTCGTCATTAGATCCGCGTATAATTATTCATCGCAATACGTACCCATTACAGTTGAACCCCATGCGTAAAGCATAAAATATTTTCAAATTAAAACCGATTTGTCACTTTTATCGACGTTCACGAGTTGGCTGTGAGTTACAACGTTATTACACTCTGAAGGAATACGAGTCAAATATTCGAGTATATATTTCAGTGATTTATATTTTTATTATACAGATCGTTGGCCGTGCTACAGATGCGTTTAACCTCGTTATAGTGATAGACTTAGCGCGCGCGCGTGTACGAGTGTGTTTTTTTTTTTTTAAAAAAATATTTATTACGACTGTTACAAGTGTTATTTTATTTCTCACCCTATTGCCACCGCCTTAACTGGCGAGTTCAATTATTTTAATTCGTAGTATAAATAATAACACCCCTCCGGTCGCGTTTTACATTATACGTTTAGAAGTCACGAAAAAAAAAAAAATAAAAATAATAATAATAATAAATAAATAAATAACAATATTAATGGCCCACCTATTATTAATTCTGTCCATGCTGGTATAAATTATTGTATAATATGCGTGCTCAAGAATTTATTTGTTTATTATTATTCTTCTTTTATTACGCTCGTAAAGATGATATTGGCTTTGTGCGCGTTCACGAAGACGCGAAGACGATTTGTGTGTGTTTTACAAAACAGCAACACAAGAATTACATAGTACATTAACACGGGTATTATATAAATATTTCTTTTCGTTTTAATATTCGTAAAATATACAACACCAGCCATATATATGTGGTGAGAGAGAGAGAGAGAGAGAGAGAGATGGAAGCGTGTTGATAAGGTGTCAGGAGAAATAATACAAACATATATTATAATGCGTATATATTTGTACGTGTAACCGTCTTGCCCCGGAGTGATATTATTATTATTATTATTACTTCCATCGATAAATAAGTCAAAACCGCGGTTCGCCTCCAGCTGAGACGTATGGACGACGATCCGTAGTGTATACACTGGTGTTTCGAATAATACGCGTTTAATCGTGTGCTATGTACCTACACGGTACATGGCCGCATTAAATATTGCGGCGATTATCTCCTTCCGCCGCAGCGCCATCCATCAATCCGCAGACAGGGTGCATTCGATACCTGAGCTGTTACGGACCGACTGTAACAGGATTCCGGAAACGAGTAAAATATCCTTATTGATAGTTCTGAACCGTTTTCAATGATTAATTTTAAGGTAACTAATCGTAATTTAAGGACTGGTCTTACAAATTTCTAACTCCTACCAACTTAATGTCGAACTCGCCAATTAATCGGACACTGAAATTAGCAAAAATAAGTATAATTCAGATCCATTCGTAAACAGTTGATACGAGTTTAAAGGAAATGTTAACATAGTATTTAAATAGTTTATTGTACATTGATGTTACAATGCGATTTTAATTGGAATCAACAGTCCGTACGAAATACATAAATAAATAAATGAATGAATAACATCAGGAAAAATAAAATGATAATAATCACGGTGTACTCCGTCGAAAGCCTAACGGATAACGTTGATGATTCTATCGATAAGTTGTGAACGCTCCGGGAATAACTGCGTCAACTCGTCGACTGCTCGCCAGTGCAGTCCATTCGGTCGGTCGTCCGATCGGTAACGGTTTAGTCGGCGAATTCTTATGGCCGATCGAGCCGCAGTTATTTCTACCCACCAATCGAATGCACTGCAGTATACGTCTTAGCATCGTAACATCCCATGGTCCTTAACGACACCGTAAATGCGCCAACAACATGTCAACATAACACGATGTTATATAATGTACGTAATACATCTCGTGATACCGTTTAACATTGTTAAATATTAACTTGTGGTGGTCGAGTTGAAGCGGTATTTCCTGTTGTTTTTTTTAATATTTTTAACACTCTGCCTACGTCTACGATCACTATACGTGTGTCGTTACGTGCGACCAAACCATTTTTTTTTTTTTATTCGTCAAACGCTAACCAACGAATATGATTGCGTGTACTAAAAAAAAACGTCGTTGAAGACGAACAAACGCCGTACGTCGTAAGTCGATGTGATAACGTTTATGGTTTTTATTTTTTTTAAATTTTTTTCATCGATAGTTAAACACGGGATATAGGTTCAATCGGTTATTGAAATATTTCGTGAGGAGTGGAATTAATGTTTTTTTTTTTTTTTACATCGAATAACGTACGTTTTATCGAGATAATCGCACAGATTATGCACTGTCCGAGTGAATACGACGGCCAAAGATATTTTATTGGGATCGGTTCGATAAGAATACTTGTACAACGGTAAAACGTTTATGACACGCCTGCACGCCACTGGCAGCAGTGACACACTGCTACGGGTCAGTTCGACGGTTTGCCTCGGCAAAACGACTTAAATGTTCGAGATGAAACCGTTTGAATCCACGGTGTGAAACTGCGGTCGGACGGACGTCGAGAAACTCGGGCGGAAACGGACAGAACCGTCTAAAAGCAGTATTTGATCTATCCGACGCGACTAGGAACAATGTAGCAGTATCATCGTTACTCGTACTATTGCTCTGTTCGCGAGAGTATCCGTACTATAGAGGTGTAGTGTTTTTTTTTTTTTAATTCGAAAACAATCGTTTCCCCTTTATGCGACTCGTGAAACGCGTAATCGTTTCACACGTGCGTTCGGATTAAAACAACGATTTTTCGTGCATTCAAGCACGTTACGCGTACATTTATACTACGCGGCTGAGCGGATGCGTAAGAATACCGTATGTACTCGTAATTGTATTGTTAGGTTATTCAAAATACCGTCTTCTCCGCGTTGCAACCGACAAATAAAAAGGGATCGAAAACCCACACATTATTATTATCTTGTGGAGTTGTACATCAAGTTGTGCGTTCCTATTTATTACGCGTTCCGTGCGTTGTTGTCGGTAAGCGACTGCAGCGATGGGGATTCGATTACGGTTTCCAAAAATCCGTGCGCGGACCACCTGCACATTTGACTGCGTGCATTCGCCGAAATGACTTGCGCGTTGTCGACCTCCCTCGTCTCGCGTGCACCTATATACGTATGTACACAGAGCCATTAAAGGAAAAAAAAAAACATTTGAAAACACTTGTGGGTGGTTTATGATCGGAAAGAAGAAAATTAATTACATTTACGAATTGATCGAGGGTCGATTATCATAATAAATTACACGGCAAAGTGTCGTTAAACTCCTATCGACTATTGCAACCGATCGTTTCTGGTGCTGGTACTGCTGACCCTCCCTGCGCCAGCCCTATCTTGTTGGACAACAATCACTCCTCTCGACCCGAAACAGTTCAATACCTACTGATGTGTGCCGTACGTGTCCATTACCGCTATAGTAACTTTTCACCCCGAAGACATAGGTTCGTCCAAATCTTCCGTGACCACTTCTGCGGCGCGCAAAACTTTTTGGCACGTTGTTCAACGTCGAAAATAATTTATAAACAATTTTATTTCAATAACATTTGGAATAAAATGATTCATATGTTGACGTACACATTGTACGTGACCATCACTTGTCGCGCGGTATTACGCGGTAGAATATCACATTGGCCGGCACCGTATGCAACAACGACGCACCGTTTATGGCCCTGAAGTTAGCATTACAATGTGAGCAGAAAACTTTTTAAAAGCCTTCCAACAATGTTTAAACGGACTTGTAGTATTTTTTATTCCGTTGTTTTACTTTGGTAAATGGTAGGCAGAGCCCTCCATGATTATTTAAGCAGTTCATAACTGTAACAACCCCAAGATTTGAGTAATCATACATGATACGATGTCCACGACAAATATCGTTATTGTAATGATCCGGAGCTTTCGCTTCCCGATATCTGGAAACGGTTAAGTAATATTTGTCGAAAAAACGTACATGCGCGCCTACAAAAACATCACAACTACAACTGGACGACAATACAAGTATTGCGCAGGTGATTCGTCGATGTTAAGTAAATAGGTTTACGCTGGACAGAGATGCAGGATGGATAAAGTAACGCTCGAACGCTTTTCGACATTATTAGAATGTAAACTCCTCGGATGATTATGTCGAATGTGGAATCTTGATAAACAAGAACTCGACTGAAATGTATGAAATGAAGGCAGATTATTGGTCGAAAACATTTTTTTTTGGGGATAAAAGATATGATCGGAAGAAACAGCAGAGCGATCGATACATATATTTCACAACTGTTTCAATACAATATAGATTGAGAAATTGCTTAAGGTCGGATTGTATACATCTGAGAAGGTGAGGACAATTAACAATTAATGTAACTGACGAGAAGTGATGGGAAACATAAATTAAAATAATATTGACAGAAAAACAATCGAAAAACGATCGAGCTATACCGAATCACACGCTGCACAGGGAATAACTAATAACTTAATCTGCTGAGTACGTTTTTGCTGCGTACAGCGTCCCGAATTTGTTTTCGGTTACGATTCTCTCTACGTGCGCACTTGTAAGCGTCAGAAAAAGCGTTCCTTGTCGATCTCGAGTTTCGCATTCCCCCTACCTATACCTAGAGCCGGATTAAAAGGTAGGCAAAATAAGCAATTGTTTATGGCCCAAAAAAAATTCGGCCCATAATTTTTAAAATCAAATTTATATATATTAAAAATAAGATTTAAGAATTTTTTTCTCATGAGTAGTTATGAATTTATGATTTTATATCATAAATAATTTAATATTGTGGTTATCAAATTTGTTGTAAACTTGTAACTGTGATTTGTATCAATTATTTCGCTATTCCAACTAATGTTCCAAAAATCATTCATCATATTAATTTACCTTTATGATGTGATCAGTACTCAGAAGTTTATTAGTTTAATACTATCGCGACTCGGGTTTTTCCTAAAAATAATATTAAATAAACAAAATTATAATAATGATGATATTTAATATATATATATATAGTAATTAATAATTAAATAATGTAATTATAAAGAAAATTAATATAAGAATTCAAAATTTTAAATGTAGACTCTAATGTAAATTATAATTATTTTAACTTTATTTGTGATACCTAATAAATAATTGAAAATAAAATTAATTTTTTTAAGTGTATGAAAATTATGTGTAGGCCATTTATATGAATGTGCTTACGGCCCTAAAAATCATAATCCGGCTCTACCTGTACCGAACCCCATCCGTACAATCGTTCTACACGATTGGATGGTCCACAAGCGAATCAATCGATCGCAGTTCCAAAGAATGCGACGGCTAAAGATATCTACTTCGTAGTAAATATTTAATTATTTAACATAAGCTCCATACACAAACGAACAAGAAAATTATTTTATTGGAAAATTAATTGTACTCAATATTTAATTTAAAATTTAGTTAAAATGTTTAACTTAATTTGATCGTAAATTTTTTTATAAACTAATTCAATGACGGTGTACAGCGACTAACGACGGCGCGATGGAACGGAAAATATTGTCGTGAACCCGGATTCAATAGCGTCTATAATACGCGGATCATTCTCGCCGGGCCCCTCCGTCCAACAAACCACACCATGTCGGACCACAGTTTCACCTACCGTCGTAGAAACTATTAAAATAGTGTTTCCGTCGAAAAACTATTTATATTCAATTTATAATAATAAATAATATAGAAAACGCTATAACGTATTTTCAATAAAAATACAAAATACGTTTTTAAATAGTATTATTATTTACAAGTAGCTATTTTTTTTTTTTTTAAGGGGAGACGCAATCTAAAAGTCTCCCATAATGAGCCACCCCTGCAGTGAGCGCACGTTCGTTATACACTAACAAACGGCCAATGTTTTCCACGCGGATCGCACGGGCGCAGTCTGCGGGGAGAATTGTTCGGGTGTTTTCAATCCCTTCCCGAGGCGTGCAGCTCACGCGGCCGTGCGCGCCCGACGTTCGGATGGAAGTCACCTAGGGGCAAATATTAGACGCCCGGCCACCAATAAAAACGAAACGAAACGATACACACAAGTTATGTTTACTTCGGTCGCGGTTACAACGCGACGGATAATAAAAAACGTTAAACCGGGTCCGCGGCCGTTGCGCGGAATCGACGAAGATTTGCGGTCGACTCCGACGTGCGTTGGAACGGACTCGCGGGGCACTTTAACCGTTTTACGCCCCCGTTCGTACGACGCGAAAACGGATCTCGACCGAAACCTTGTCTCGTTCGGCCCTTAAACGCACCTCCCGGACACGTGCCCGCCGCCGACGCGGAGCCGACCGAAACGAAGTGACACGTACGCGCACGTACACATTACACAAAGTGGCCGGTGCGGGGGACGAGCGGGAAAACGATACGGCGCGCGCGCCAGTCGGGTATCATCGTCCGCCGCGCGCGTCGTACCAGGTAGAAGACCATTAGTCGGGTCGGAACGACACGGTTTAATGAGGCACGTTGGCGATCAATCAAAAAGGAAAGGAGAGGAAAACAAAAACAAAAAAAAAAAAAAAAAAAAAAGGACGAAAGAAAACGAGAACCCCGGCTCGTTTTATTTCGGGGGACGTGGGGGGGGGACGGGACGGATCATTAATTTTGTCAGTTTTGTAAATAGAGACGTCCGAGCGGGATAGTGAACTCTCTCGAGTAGGTGACCTCGGGGTGAAATAGACCCGCGCTTATTGAATATATATACATATACATACGTGCGCGCGGCCGCATCGTCGTAGACGTCTTAATAGGCGTACACGGTCGATCTGTCGGTTCGATAGGGAACGCGTTGTATCCCGACGGTTCGTCGTCGTTTTTCAAAAATAAATATTAGTGTCACTCGCGCGCACCGATACGGATACGATAACAAAGATTCGAGCGGAAGGCTAATCAACGGTCCATCGATATACAATAATAATAATAATAATAATAATTACAATAACGATACGGTGGCGTCGGGTGTTTCATTTATCACTCGCTGCCGGCCCGGTCGGTAGGCGTACGCGGCCACGACGACCTGCGGTTACACGGCCGAGCGCTGGTCACTAAACGTTCCGTCCGGTCATTAGCCGATCTCTCTATCAGTGCGCGACCGCGCAACGATCGCAGCACGTCGCCGTGGCGTACCGGATAACGTAACGCGCACGGTGTCCGGTGCACCGCACGCGGTGTTCCTTTCGGTTCGCGTCGGCGTTCCTCGCGCGGGCCTCCGCGCAATCGCTAACGTCGCTAAAATCGCTATCGCGACCGGCTAGGGTCGCGGCCCACCGTACTCGGAACGATAGCGGCCCTGGATCGCCCCGAAAACCCGTACGGCTTAGTAATGCACGATTCGACCGGGCTGTCCGGACTTGGCCTCGAGATTCCGATTTATTCCAGAGGTTAGGAAAATGACCGTGACCCCAGTTAGGTTAGACAACGTGTTTTTATTAAGCATTTGTCTATTTCCGTAGGTAGCGACGAAACTGAAAACATACGAGTCAACGGGCAAAATAGTTTAACAACAATAACAGTGTTGACGAATGTCGACGATTATTCGAACACGAGTCACAAACGTGCCCCGTATATATATATATATATATATACACTTTTAGGATTTTCTCCTCTTATATTATTCGCTCGAAGACCGTTAAACCCACCGCACACGTTGGCCACGCTATTAAATCATGTACACTTTCACGGCGATTCCTTCCCTCCCCCCTCCGCACCGTCCAACCTGTTCGCGTCTAGTCCTCCATTATCGTAGTCCGTGATAAACACGATCCAACTCCATGATCTCGATGCCACGACGGTCGTAGGAGACAATGGACCGTGATTATGATTGTTGATTGTAATGTCTTATCGAGCGGTTTCGATTTGTAGCGGTTATTTCGGTAATCATTTTTTTTTTTTTTTAATCTAGTTGGGCGTGAGCGTAACCCGTAGGTACCAGCCATCGGCCACATATTCGTAAACATATACGCGGTAACATACACGCGGAAAGCGGTACACTGCCCTACAGGACAGTAAACCACTGGCCCATCCCTTCGTGCGTCACAGAACGCGCTCGCGGTTATTGAATGTTATTGCACCGACACAACGCACGGGTAACAGTGGAAGTCCGCTGGTCCGCACCAACGGTAACCGTGGTCCGGCCCAGTAACCTGCACAGTATAACTCGTACCTTGCGTTATTGAAGGTAAACGGATAATGTTGTGGACGACAAGATAAGTTTTAAATCCGTCCAAAGACAAATCTATACACGAACCCACGACCATATCCGTGTGCAGACATCGAGGATTCCGAATAGATCGCTTCAGATCGTAAGCGGAAGATTATAACACGTTTTCTGTAGCATGTGTGACGCGCGTGTTTTTTTTTTTTTTTTTTGTTCGACGGCTTCAATTCACATAATATGATAATTCTACCAACCGAAAATCTCAAATAAGATGTTTCGTCTTTCAATGCGGTTCGAATACCATTTTAATTAGTTATTTTTTTTTTCTCGGTCTGCTTTTTAATTGTAAATCAACGCCTCTGCTTCGTGCATACGACATATAGTTATTACTCGATCGTCGTAACCGATTTGAGTTATTCATGAGTTCGTCAAAAGATTAATAATATAAACATCTATTTAATATATAATATAAGTTGGAAAGATCGGTAAATCGAATACGTTCGGTGGTTGTTAGTTGATCGTTAAAATGTCAAATAAAATCGTCTATGTGTGTACGAGGTATCCTATGAGAGGAATAAAAAAAAAAAAAACTTTAAAGCTATTACACTTGTTCGTAATGTTTGTTTGTCTCAT